CTTTCAGGTGGAACACGCTGCGCCAACGCTATCCCGGGCAGCTGCATATCAAACCATTAGACGGCTAGTCAGCAAGAACAGATATGGCAAACGGAAAGTCTCTGACGCGATTGCCAAGCAGTTTGTCGGGGGAGGGAAAGGCCAGGCAGACCTCATCGATCTCTACATAGCAAATGGGGGTGACAAGGATTCTTGAAAGCACCCTTATTACGCAAAATATGTATATTTAGTTGGTGTGCGCCTAATCGAATGCCAAGGACAAGTTCAAGCGCAAAGCTGAGCTGAAGCTCACCCGGAGCAAAAGTGGCAAACAGCATGTCAGACATAAGTTTTGCACCGAGCAACAAATGAGGGATGAGTTGAAGTGGGATGAGTGCCTTTGTTTGGACATATAGTGGCAACGTCTTTGAACTATGCTGGTAAATTGCCGGTAATTATATTCTTCTGTTCTGACACCCAACCCTGTCTTGACCCAAGTTGCAACTTCCTTCAGGCCCCGCATCAAAGCCGTGAAGAAGTGGTGCACCACAAAGGGAAGACGACGCAAGTACACCAGGACGATGTACACATCATATTTTTCACACGCAGTATACACATACGTTTGAGTGGGTGTTCCATCGGCGCAGGCGGGACAAGTATGAGCATCAAAAGATCAAGTACTATTGCGAGATCGAAGAGGGGGGCAGCTTTGAAAAGAATGTCACCCGTGAAAACACTCGTAGTTTAACGATGAATGACCTGGATGGTGAAGCTTTCGATGACAATGATGACTTCGGAGGTGTAAGTGATGATGACTTTTTGTCTGCAAGTTGTGATGAAGAGAGTATTGATGGATCCAGTGATGCCGCCAGTGATGATGGTGATGATAGCGACGATGCGCCCGCTGGTGCTTCGCCTGCCCCGCCTTCCAAAAAGCGGGCTGGCCATGGACCATCAGCGCCTGGCAAGAGGAACAAGGGTTCTGAAGGTGAGGGGAAACGCTCTAGACGGGGCGAGCTGGAGGAAGAGTTGCCTTTGGAGGACCTGTCAGTGTCATACACATATGTTGCCCTACACATCATTTTCCCATGCAACAAGCCTAAATTTGAGAAACATATGAAACATCTTGTTTCAGGAAATCGAGAATGTTGATGCGACCCTGGACCAAATCCTTACCCAAGCTTCTAAGATCACTTGTGTGTTGAAGCAGCTCCGCGAGAAAGGTTGCAAAACGTGCCTAGGCAAGCGTCTATATATGAATCCCCCCAAAAATAAACGGTGTAAGTAAAGTGGTTCTTGTTGAACCCGCCTTTTTGCTGTGATCCAGTCGTTGCCTCACCCTGGGATTTGTTTGCCACAACATCATGTCAAAGATTTCCCATTTTCACCCGCAAACCCGGGAAGTATTTTGCAAAGGTGGCTGCAACAATAAACCCAAGGCAAGCAGATTCCCTCCAGAGCCGGCATGATTCCCTCCTGAAGCTGCACGACGAGATCGCAGATATCAAGGCAACCTTTGTGGCTGACAAGACTCTGACAGCGGAGAACCATAGCCTATTTACAGCGTGTCAATATTCATGTGCATACACATGCCACACGTATGTCAGAGAATCGGAATTCACAAATTGTGTTGTGACTGGTGGGCCCCAGGAACCTCAACTGTCTCCAAAGCAAGTTCCGGCTTGTTGAGAAAGAGTCTGCGACCTAATGATGTGTTTGACAAAGCATGCTTGCTGCATTCCGGTTGTGGCCACCCAACATTCAAACCTGTAAGGTGCTCGCAAGCTTTGATGGAACAGAACAAGCTAAAGAAGCTTCATGGCGTCAATCGTTGATTGCAACTCTGTTCATTACACAGTTGATGTGGGGTTGGCACCAAGACTGATCCATGCAATTTTGTTTAGTCAGAGGCAGCATATATGCCAGATTAGCTTCGATGCTGACTTAGGACGGTGTTGAAAGGGGGTGCGAAGAGAAAATCTCGTCCAAAAAGGGACACCAAGCCATCCGCTGGCGATGAGAGTGATGCTGCCACAGAGCCTGACCCACAGCCCAAGTCCCGTGGAAAGGCTAAGGCTAAGCCGAAGCCAAAAGCTAAGGGCGGGGCGGCGGCCAAGTGAAAGGTGGCCCATGGGAATTTCCAATATCAGTTCATGATGTTTGCAATTACTGCTGTGTGTGTACTATCACCATGTCACCTCAATTGTTTATATACCGGTGGTTTGTGCAATGGGCCAAAGTGTTTGGGGATGTAAATGTGTGATAGACACATTTCTGGTGCACACGGACAACCACGTGTGACTGCTTCAATTCGATGATCAACCAAATTCCATGAAGAGCTTTGTGCACTTCCTGCCAAAAACACTCTTCGCGCTGCGCACGCATGCAAATAAGCCCGCACAGCAGTATACGAGCCCTTACGCCTGCGCAGGTAGTAAGCAGTCTCGTCACCTTTCAGCAGGGCCAGCTGCCAAAGCATTGGCCAAAGCTACGAGCAAGGGAGTGCCCTGGCCCAAACATCAGTTCAAGCAACACAAAAAATTGCCCAATTGGTCGACAACCTCATATATAGGTCTTTAATATATATATATAGGCCGTCATTATGGAACAAAGTCCTTGCTGGGTCCATGCCCAGGTCTCTGAACGACTCGTGTGTGAAATCGCTTCTGGATTTTGGCAAGAATGTGAAGAAGTTGGTGAAATGTCTTTGAAGAGTTCGATGTTCCTTCAACGCTTGGACAGGGCCTCCAGAACCAAGCATGAGTTCAGGAGCCGGTCGGCTTTTGTTGCTTCGGGGCTCTCGGCAAATGTTCCTGTCACCATGTTGGACATTTCAATGAAGAAGAGCCTACCTTCAATCAAGGCAACTGACATGTTTCGAGCAATGGCTTTGCACGACAAGATCAGTTCGTGCTTGCTGGGTGGCGGTGGCTTGGAAACCCTTTCCACTTTTTGGAGCCGATACCGAGTCCACTTTCCAGACCACCCTCTGTTTCGAGACCACGGTCACCACCTTCAGTTTTGCCTGCCGCTTCTAATGCATGCTGACGAAGGTCGTTACTTGAAGCGTGAGCAATTGCTGATTATGTCATGGCAAAGTATGATCGGAGAAGGCACGCGGCCTCAAAGAGACTATCGAAGTGAAGCGGATTGCCGTGAGACGCAGGGCCTCAACTTCAAGGGATCTTCTTACAGAACCCGGTTTCTGTTGGCCACATTGTTGTCTTTGCACTACAGGAAAAAGAACCGAGACGGAGACCGCCTGAAAAATTTGCTGAACGCTGTCGTTGATGACTTTTTGGAGTTCTATCGAGCCGGAGTGGAGGTTGTCTTCCAGGGCACGAGAATCAAATTCTATGGCATTCTGCTAAACCTGAAGGGCGACTGGCCGATGTTAAGCAAATTGGGGAATTTGAAGCAACACTTTGGCCGGAAGACCAAAGGTGGTGCTCCTACCGAGCAGTCGGCTATCTGCCACTTATGCAGGGCAGGATGTGCAGGATACCCGTATCATGAGTTTGAGATCAATGCCAAGTGGTACGAGACTTACTTGCAACGCAGGCCATGGAGTACACCAAGTCCTTTCATGCGCTTGCCGATGCCTGCTGCTCCAGAACTGTTCTTTTGCTTTGACATGTTCCATGTCACGCACAAAGGTGTTTTGGCAGAGCTGACGGCGAGCGCGCTGGAATCTTGAGTTTGCTATAGAAAGAACTGTTTATTATAATTGTTTTTTGTATTTGACATCCAGTCATGTGAGTGGCTGTCAACACATTCACCTGAGGTTGCCCTACTCGATATGGGCCTCTTTGTGCCGGGAGATATTCCAACCCGCTTGGACAAGATCTATGATGACCTGAAGTCCTTTTGCCGCACAAGTGGCGTCAGCCTGCACTTGACCCGCCTTACAAGACAGCTGGTGGGCTTAAAAGATGACTCATGCTATCCTTCTGGGAGTCTTGGTTCATTTTAGAACGTTTTAGAAATTCATAATTTTGAGATGATGGGCTCAACCTGACTCTACTTTATGGGCTGATGATTTTTTCTTCAAAATATGTTATTGGTTGAGCGGAGTTTGATTTTCACCCTTAAGCCCATTTTTGCTCAAGTTGATTCAGCTGAGGACATGGTTCAAGGGAGCCGACACTGCTGCAATTTGCAAGTTTGTCGAGCATACGTTTGGACAGCTTACTGCTCCCGCAGGGTTTGAGCTCTATTGTGAGTGTATCCATTTGGCGGCAGAAGCAAGCAACACGGTTTTAAGTTGCATGTACACTAGCGGGCTTTGGCTTCGACCGATGGAGGCCTCAGCAATTGCAAGGCACAGTTTGTGTTTTGCAAGGCGTTTCAGAGAGTGTTCAGAGTTGGCATTCCAAATGGAGAAGTGCCGCTTCAGAATCACACCAAAGTACCATGCGTATGTTCATTTGACGCATGCTGTAATTCAGCAATTGGGTAATCTTGTGGATGAGGTGCTGGAAAATGACACTCCAGCAATTCTCAACCCCCTGAGCTACTCATGCCAATTAGATGAAGACTATATTGGGTCCATAGCGATGCTGTCACGGACAACGACCACAGGGCATGTCCACGAAGGCACCATGAACCGTTATCTTGTCACTCTTCAGCGTGAGTGGTAAAAAATGTCATGCTGCCTTGCTTTACCTTCGCTGGTTGCAATCCCAAAAGGGCAACTTTTGACAGTGCCCCAGTTTCCTCGCAACTTTGGGTGGTGTCCCATTTTTTTGAGCAACTCGGTGTTCAAGGCACTGACTTCATATGACCCTTCAGCGCCATGACTCCCCGAACTCGGCCATTTGGTCCCAATTTGCCAACCACCCCAGACACTCCATGTATGCCATATACATTGACCCCTCTGGCACCACCCCTGGCCTGATCGGCATCTATGGCAGTCCCATTAGTTGTTGCCAACCACTTCCAAACACCTCAGTGCAACGACCTACCCGCTTGTCGACACTCCGCGCCGCACGTCCCCAGCTTGGAACGCCACGCCACGCCAGGTACCGCGCGGGCACCGACGACCATGCAGCCTTCCACCGCGACCACTTCGACGGCCGCAGCGGCGGCGCGCAGGTCACTTTGGGCGTCTTTGCCTCCTTCGGCGACCGGCGAAGCTTGACCTATAGAGGGGAGGGTGAGGTTTTTCTTGGGGAGTCCCGAAGGATTCCAGTATGGGTGATGAGGATGGTTTCGATCACTAGAGGGGAGTGTGTTGACCAGGTAGCACTGCGAGTTTTGATTGAAGAGCAACAAAAACGCTGGGGTTTGCTGTCCTTTTGTTTGCTGTCCGTTGAGTTTCAGCACAAGGTCTTTGGGATTTCAACATGTTCATTTTTGTTTGGTTGACACTCAGACATGCATAGTATGACCTCTAGCAACGGTTGATGCAATGCTGCAAGGTCCATATCAGCATGCTAAGTCATCGCAATATCCGATAGAGTCACGAGCAAGCCTTTGAGATGGACGGATTGATCACAATGATCACAATGAAAAGCAATAAACATGGAGCCCTTACGCCGAAGTGGCATGGACAACCTGACCCCGAAACCATTAGCACTAGACATAATAACAAGAACATGAACAGAAGGAAAGCGACAAGAAGAACAACAATGAAATTATAACAAAATATAAGAACCACAACAAGCAAACAACAGAAAGAGAAGGAACTTTATAGTGATGTTATATGATGTTACCATGTATATAACCATAATTTGTTGTTCTCCATTGTGGCTTCCGCCGCACGTTTGCCCCACCTACCCACCCTAGGAGACCTTTGCTGGTCCTTCGGTGGCCGCGCGACCGCGTGGCGTCTGCCGCTGCGGAATGGCGACGTGGTGGCCTTCGATCGAACGGCCAACGCGGCGGGGCTGCACAGCATCGAGAAGAAGCTCGATGCCGCGGAGGATCGCGACGTGGCTGGAAGGGTCTATGGTGGGGTATGTTGGGGTGGTGAGTGGTGAGTGGCTTCCTACAAATGTCATCCTGGCCATCCTGGAATCCTGGCAAGATGAAATGCCTGTAGGAAGGCACATGTTAGCATCCAGGTGCCCCCAAAAAAGTTAGTAGGGAACCCTTAAAGAGCATTGCACGGGTGTTCTTTTCGTGGTGGCGAGTTTTTTCAGCGCCTACACTCGGGTGGCGAGGTTTGTGCTGAAAGAGCTGGTGGTGATGACGCAGCCGGTCCCGGTGTTTGATGAATATCCAGGCCTTATAGGGATCCAGTCCTACCGTACCTCAGGTACGGTGAGCAGTGTTCGGCACGTACGTATACTCTTATACGTGGGGGACTTGGAGGGTGTTTGAGGTTCGGTACGATCCCGGAGGTGGGGAAACCCCCAGTCTCAAGACGTCCCAACGTAAACATGTTCCGGTGGTTCAACCCGCACCGCACGATGCCTATGCCTATGCCGCTGGTCTGTCTCTTCCATTCCACCCGCACTCCACGCGGACGGAGTAGTTGTCTCGGAGACTCAGAGATGATGAAGCAAAGCTTTTTCACCAACAGTGGATGATCTGAGCCCAATGGATCGATTTTTGTAGACTCAGATCATCCTGCAGAGATTTTTGGGGGTAAGAGCCTCCGATCTATGAAGACTATGTTTCTTAGAACTTTGAAGCTATCCGAGGTCTGAGACTCGCCATATAAAGACCAATGTCCCAACAAATAACTGAGAGACCATGAACACTCTGAAAACGCCTGAGGCATTTCCGTGAGCCTCTGGGGCACCGGCCGCATCCCGGGACACGCGCCGTGTCCGCCGTTCGCGCCGCCCGCGCGGCGGTGGAGGGCCAAAGAAGCGCCTCCGCCGCGGCGCTGGACGCGGCGGGAGACGGTGGAGGAGAAAAGAAACATGGGCGGCGGAGGTGGAGGTGGACGATGGGAATGAGGCGGATGGAATGTATACACTCCCGCAAAACAAACATGAACCCGGGGTCGAATGGCAGCCTGGGTCGTCCCACTGTTTTCCTCTATTTAAAGTAATTTGTGGTATTCAGGGTCCATGTTAGTTTTCAGCGGATTATATGTTTGTGTTTTTTCCCCTGGGGTGCTGGGTTCGGTGAGGTCTGGGAGTCTGTGCATGTTTTCTTCAGACCCTGTGTTTACCATGATGCAATGAATTTCGGGACTGGTCGGGCGAACATGGTGGGTCACGACCCATTCCCAGGTATAGACTTGAGGTAGAAAAAAAGAGAGAAAACAGCCGGTATAGCGGTATGGTAAATGGAAATGATCAATGAACATGGGACATATGGCTTAGCTTACAACGTTCCCGGCTTGATACAAGGCCTGATGCTATATCATATTCTGCGATTTAAAGTGCCATGCTACTACGATCGCACTCTTCAACTCTTTGTCTCAGCCACCATGACGACCTCAAGATGAAGATCCAGCTTGGGAGCTCTTGTTTATTGACATAAGAGCCTCCGCCACGAACACCGCAGGCCACCGCGGCGTTTCGCCACGCGTCTCGCATATCTCGACGTCGCCACTAAGGTCCTCACCACCAAGCGCGACATCCACACCCTGGGCGACAGCACCCCGCCCAGCGTCGTCTCGGCCGCTTGACTGACGCTTGTGGGTGGGTGTTTGGGGCAGAGCGGAGAGCGGAGGATGCATGCTTTGGTTGGGGTTGGAGAGGAGTGTTCTTTTTTGGGTAACGGAAGACATATGATTGGAAACGATAAATAAGAAGTGGCGTCGCTTTGAATGGAGGTCCTTGCTTTGGTTTGTCCATTGTGGCATTAAGTGTGTTTTGTAAAGGAGTGAGACTGAGACCCACATGCTTTCACTAGCCTTTTATCCGTGACACACCCAAGATGCTGTCTCGAATCAAATCGCTTTGAATCACTGAGGTCTCGCCTGTGCATTTGCAGAGCGGCGTGGTGAGCAAGCCCACCTTTCAGCCACTTGGATGATGGAGACGCATTTCTTGGATGGATGGATGGATGGATGGGTGGGTGGGTGGGTGGGTGGGTGCGTGGGTGGGTGGCTGGGTGGGTGGGTGGGTGGATGGGTGTGTGAGAGCGTGAGTGGATGGGTGGGTTGGTGGGTGGATGGGTGGGCAGATGTTTCCTCACTATAGTGTCGAGTGAGCTGAGTGCCCACTTTGTTGATTTTCAGAGTTTCGACGCGATCGCTGGTATCGATCTGGGTGTCCCTGGTTCGTTTTTTCTTGGGTGCATGAAGGGACTACTAGTCGCACTAGTGTAGAATCAGTTGTTGTCAGATCCTTAACCCTTTTGGGGCATGCGAGTTCACAAGGAGTTCATAAGCAGCAGGTACTTCACTGATAGATCGATTCTCCGTGAAGTCACAGAGCATCAATATACTTTGTTTTGGTATCTGTACATGTTTTTATTAAAAGAGAAGCAAACACAGAAACAACCACAGCAGGCACTTCACTATATAACTTGTTTGGCTCCGTGCTAATGACCGTGCCTTGTCTGGGATTGTTTTCACTATAGCTTCGAGGGTACGTTGACAGGCTGCGTCCCTTTACATATGCGAGAGATGCGACCGTGCCGAGGATCGTCTTTGACGAGGATATCCAGGCGTTGAAAGAAAAACCTCCTGGGGAGGAGGGCGAACTGAGAGGGACACTGACTGATGGATGTTGGGAGATCCACTAAAACCAAGGTTCCCTCACAGTTCGCTAGAAGTCCAGTTCGACTATATTCACTTTGACCTACTGAAGTAGATACTCCTTTTCAGGTATATCAAGAAAGATATAATCCTCCAGTCCCATCCCGATCACCATCGGAATCTAGAAGATGCATCCCTATCTGAAGTGATGGCTCAGCTCAGTCCAAGGAGCAGGAATTGGACCATCGCTTGAACCGCGGCAGTCGTGTGTGGAACCTCTTGAAACGAAGCTTCGACCAATTCGTAGCGTCCGGAAAATACGGAAAGAACGGGTTTGAAACAACCAGGTCACAAGGGAGTTACGAGGCCCAACAACACACAGGTTGTGCAGGGAGGAAGTTCCAACCGAGCCCACGTACTTGATTCATATCATCTTCATTTAGGGTGTGATATATAATCAATTGAGTCTAAGTACTTGCATGTGCTCGTTCTCTAAGCATTGGTGTGTCACTGTCGACCCTGGCACTGACGTGCAGGCAGGCACGGGGAATGTGGTGTTTACTCCTCAGCATCTCGGCGTTGAAGGAGGATGTTTGTCAGTCCAGGCCCATGAATGGGTTGTTTCGACAACAAGTGTCTGGGGACCGAACCCATACAGAAACGTCCAGTGCAGTTTATATCAGTTTATCATTTTTTCTTGCATGCTGGGGTTCGCACTGGGCTGGCTGCCAATGTTGTTTCCACGTGATCAAGTTTTGCGGATGCCTTCAAATGATGTCAACAGTTACGTTTCAGATTCAAGCCGTGCTTGAACTATTGGGTATATATTTTGGAGCAATAGGAGGACTTTGAGGATACAATTGCAAGGCTTCCAAAGAGTATTCGAAAGATTGCGGTCATCCAAAAAGAACCATCGGAAGTGGGCGCAGTGTACTCTAATGGCGAAACACGGGTTTTGATAGCGAAACACCGGCCTTATAATAGCTACAAGAGTGGATCTTGTCAACCAAAACCACCCTCAACTTGGGTGGCGCTGGTGATGTCTTCTTGTGCTTCCTCCAATCTCTGCACCCCAAAAGCCGTCGCAAGTCCATCAAGGACTGGCTCGCCCATCTCGATGGACATCACCAACGTCTGGGGGGCCCTAGAGTCAGTCGGACGGGTTGTTGGAGTATGCCAGTGACATCCTGTGACCGCTGGAGGTCCAGACCCTCCGCAGACACGAGGTTTCCCCCTTTCCATCAACATACTATATATAATCTGTAGCATAGATAGCATACTATAGCAATACTGTTGAAATTCACCTCATCCCCATGGACCCCGTAGCGTTGACTCTCA